CATTAGCTGTATATTGTATTGCTGGGATTTGTAGTTCCTCTCCAGCTTGGAGTGGGTGGCAGAATTTCACAGTGTTGGCAGCTTTATAGAGATTTATAAATGGTTACAATGTAGCAGAGTGTTCCGGAAGGTCAGAGGAAGGAGACGAGAGCGGGAAGGGTTAAATCTGGAGTTTACCTTTAAGTCATTTTTTTTTTTTTTACACTCTGCCTGTGAAATTGTCTGACAGGGAACGGCGGCGGCGGCGGCTGAAGTCAGATCCCTCTCCGCGCTCCATTTTATATCGGCTTCGCGGCGAGAGACGAACGCATCCTGCTAGCGGCACCTTCGGCTCCGCGGGTGACGAATCCTTCCACCTCCATCACATCTCCTCTGAACGACGCAGCCATCGATGGGTGAGTTCCAAGACGCCGGATCGTGTGTGACGCACCGCCCCAGGCATCTGGAGGAGACACGGCTTCTGTCCCCTGTCTACTCCATCCCTTAATATTATTACACTCGTTTATAAAGAGTCCACGCAGCGTTCAGATCTGGTTAATAAGGTGGCTCAATGGTTCTGCGGCAGTATCCCTTAGCAACCAGCCAGGATTAATCTCATCAGCTTGCCGGTTGCTATGGGTTATCATGCACAGAGGATGCACCATACCTATAGCAACTGCTCAGGATTAATCTCAGCATTTTGCTTGTTGCTATGGGTTACCATGTACAGAGGATGCACCATACCTATATCAACCAGTCCAGATTAATCCCAGCAGCTTGCTGGTCCCTATAGGTTACCATGTACAGAGGAGGCACCATAGCTGTAGCAATCAGCCAGGATAAATATCAGCAGCCTGTTGGTTGCTATGGGTTACCGTGTACAGAGAATGCACCATACCTATAGCAGCCAATCAGGAATAAGCCCAGCAGCTTGCTGGTTGCTATGGGTTACCGTGTACAGAGGATGCACCATACCTATAGCAACGGTGCAATGGCTGTTCCAGCAGGGGTATCCCTTAGCAACCAGTCAAAGTCATCTCAGCAGCTTGTAGAGCAGCAGCAGGGTGCAATCTGGTTGCTATTGGTTACTGTGTACAGAAGATGCAACAAACCTATAGCCACCAGTCAGGATTAAGCCCAGCAGCTGGCTGGTTGCTATGGGTTACCGTGTACAGAAGATCCACCATACCTATAGCAACTGGTCAGATTTCGGTTGTCATTTTTCATATTGAGGACTTTTTTTTTATTTTATCTGGTGGTGTAATGGCTCTTCCAGCAGCTGTAACCCTTAGCAACCAGTCAGAATTAATCTCAGCAGCTTGTAGAGACGCAGCAGAGTGCAATCTGGTTGCTACGGGTTACCATGCACAGAGGATGCACCATAACTATAACAACCAATCAGAATTAATCACAGCAGTTCACTGGTCTCCCCCATTGTAAGTATGATTACAATTCTGCATCAGGTTCATATAAACCTCACCGACAGCGACATGAATGTGTCACATGTTGCGCCATTTGCTGCGCGGATGGGAGCGTCTATGACGGGCTGCATGAATTCCAGGGATAATGTAGAATCTGGTTGCTATGAGCAATACAGTGTTCCCGTTTCATAGCATGAGGGCGAGTCATGTAGGCCAAGTGTCAAGTGTAGGCCGCAGATATGGTAACCACGGCGCCGTAGGTGAGGGCGGCTTCATCGACTTATCTATATAAAAACAGGAAACGGACTAGGGTTCCGTCATGTGCGGACATGACAGCCAATCAGATTGGCACTCTAACTTTTTTTTGTTATTTACTGAAAGGAGACAACTGCTTGGTTGCCATGGGCAACATCATTTCAACTGTTTTGTGATAAATCTGAACGATTCGGTTCCGTTCAATAATCTCCATGTCTGTGTTTGTAGATGAACGGACAGCGGCCGAGGAGAAGGTTCTGGCGTGCGAGAGCTCGGACTGCATTGATAAAAGACGGGCAGTGAAGGTACGTGCCTCCGGATTTACTAAATGTGTTGCACTACTTTAGATGTTATGAGGGGAATTTATCGAAACTGGAGCAGTTGTCCACGGCAACCAATCAGCTTCCCTTTTTTTATTTACAAAAATGCAATACCATCACAAGGAATACATCCCCTTCCCGGCCTATTACCAAACCTGAACAGATGGCTATTGAAACCCCACCCACCCGAGAGAGAAAGTTGTCTCTCAGTTGCGCTCCTCTGCTCAGTGGGCGGGTGCAATAGCCATCCTGGCCATTGGCTATGTCAAATTAAAATAGCCAATAGCAGTCTGGCTATTGCTCCCGGCTGCTTGCATTCACCTGTCGCCTGTGGAAGCTAGCTGGCAGGAGAATGGAGCCACGCGGGGGGGTGGGGGGTTTGGGGGTTGCGCCACGGGAGGGAGTCTGGGGGATGCAAGCAGCTGGTCTTGCCTAAGGCGTAATATGCCATTGGCTTTCGCAATTTGTCGCCGTGGGGGGTGAGTGGTCGAGGTGCACCCTAGGCAGCAGTGCTCCCTAGGCGGCTGCCTAGTTTGCCTAGTGGCAGCACCGGCCCTGGTACCACCTGGAACACAGTTCATTGACATGATCACTCCTGGCTCCTAATTTGCATTGTAATTCACCCCAAAGGTGTTCTATAGGATTGAGGTCAGGTACTGGTGTTGGATCAGAAGACCTGACTCCTAATTGGCATTCCAGTTAACCCCAAAGATATTCTATAGGATTGAGGTCAGGTACTGGTGTTGGATCAGAAGACCTGACTCCTAATTGGCATTCCAGTTAACCCCAAAGATATTCTATAGGATTGAGGTCAGGTACTGGTGTTGGATCAGAAGACCTGACTCCTAATTGGCATTCCAGTTAACCCCAAAGATATTCTATAGGATTGAGGCCAGGTACTGGTGATGGAGGAGAAGACCTGGCTCATAATCGGTGTTCTAATTCATCCCAAAGGTATTCTGCCTGGCACCGGCCCTGGTACCACCTGGAACACAGTTCATTGACATGATCACTCCTGGCTCCTAATTTGCATTGTAATTCACCCCAAAGGTGTTCTATAGGATTGAGGTCAGGTACTGGTGTTGTATCAGAAGACCTGACTCCTAATTGGCATTCCAGTTAACCCCAAAGATATTCTATAGGATTGAGGTCAGGTACTGGTGTTGGACTCCGTAAACGGTGTTCCAATTCATCCCAAAGGTATTCTATGGGATTGAGGTCAGGTACTGGTGATGGATGAGAAGACCTGGCTCATAATCGGTGTTCCAATTCATCCCAAAGATATTCTATAGGATTGAGGTCAGGTCCCGATGTTAGAGAAGAAGACCTGGCTTTTATTCAGCATTCCAACTTGCCTCAAATGTGTTCTTTAGGGTTGAGGTCAAATACTGATCTCGGACGAGAAGACCTGGCTCGTAATTGGCATTCCAGTTCATCCCAAAGGTGTTCAGTAGGGTTGAGGTCAGGGTTCTGTGCATACATCTCAAGTTCCTCCACACCAAACCCAACAAACCACGTCTTGATGGAGCTGTCTTTGCCCACAGTGGCACAGAAAAGGGACTTCCCTAAACCGTTACCAAAATGGTTGAAGGAGCACAACTGTGTAAAATGTCTTTCATTATCAGGACCCTTCACTGGCAGTACCCTCTTCACTGGAGGAGAGTCCACAAGCCTTTGGCTACATAGTGTAGCTGACTTTAAATCCTACATGACTTGAACATCACATGTGGTGCTTGAACCTGTCACCTTGCAAGCAAATACTGTGCAGCGTATTATCAATCTGTGTACTATGGAAGTGCAATGGAGTCCTTTCAGTGACATATCTATATGAGTTACCCCCCCATGCTTTGGTCCACATCAGCTCGCAGTTCATAGCATCTACTACTATAAGATGGGCACAAGTGGAGAGGTCCTGGGCAGTAATGCTTTGCCTTCTCTTGGCTTGGTTATCTGGTGACCAAACACAACCAAACCCAGGGCTCGGGCCCCCCTCAGGTTCTGGTTGCAGCTGCCACCCCAGTCCTTCCTGAATGTTGTGGCTTCCGCTGGCACTTTTGCTGTAATTTGGGTTGATCCTCTCCTTAAAACCTGATCTGCGTGTTTACATCCGATGTCTTAGCTTTGTTTATCAGGGTGCAGCACTGCTAGGAAGTTCTTACACCAAGCTAAGCTCCATTTGTATGTTTTGTGGGTTGTTTTTGCTGGTAAATAGATCACTTGAAAAGCAAAATGCAAATGCGGCGACAGTGACAAATGAGCAGTCTGTCTGAGGTCACCCCTTTATGTCATTTTGCATATTTAAACCTACTTAAAAAGTTGAGGAAAAAAATAAAAGATCCATAGTAGTCTTAGGGGGACCGTTAGTTACTTGAAGTAAGAGATGAGCAAATTAAAGCCCAGCACCAGCCTAAACTGTTTTAAACAGGTACAGCAATTTTGGAAAAAAGGTTCAAAGCTGAAATCCGGGATAGGAAAATATATTCTAAATACAAGAGTCATGTGTGTTCTTCCTGAATCTTGGTGAGCTTTGTGCATTTCTTACAGATCTGTGCAGTAATCCAGTGTGAGACTTGGAGCTTCCTGTATTAAAGTCCAGTCATTGCTGTTCTCTCCTTGTGCAGAGTGACTGGTCTTGTCTCCACCCATTTCTGTAATAAAGACCGGTCACTGCTGCTCTCTGCTTGTGCAGCTTTAATGGTCTTGCCTCTGCCCCCTCCTGTAATAAAGATCAGTCACTGCTGCTCTCTCCTTGTGCAGGGTGACTGGTCTTGTCTCCACCCATTTCTGTAATAAAGACCGGTCACTGCTGCTCTCTGCTTGTGCAGGGTGACTGGTCTTGTCTCCACCCATTTCTGTAATAAAGACCGGTCACTGCTGCTCCCTCTTCTTGTGCAGGGTGACTGGTCTTGTCTCTGTATTCTGACAGCGGCTACCGGTACACGAATGGAACTTGCAGCTGATTGCAAACTCCATTCGGATGATTTCCAACCTGCTCCTTGTATCTTCTGATTGAGGGATACCGTGGTGGAAGATGCCAACAGGGGAACCCACTGGGCGATTTTAGGCCAGTTCATAATTTGCACCTTGTACAGCCTGCCTTAAACTCTCCTTCCTCTCAGCTCATCCTGGAATATTACGGCCACAGCTTATTGTAGAATACAAGGGCACAATACCATCTAGCATCAGCAAGGCCACATTTAACCCCTGCACATCTGATAACATGCCAGCACATAATTGGCTTGTTGTAGAATAAAAGGGCCACCATCTAGCAGCAGCAAGGTCAGATTTAACCCCTGCACCTCTGGTAGCATGCCAGCGCCTAATTGGCTGAGTGTCTAGATTACATCCATGTTACATTTACACTTCACAGACCTGACAGGAACTTGTCCTAATCCACCTGATCCTTATTGCAAAGCTTAGCGGATTTGGTTCACATTATCTGGCTGGAAATCACGGACGTGTTGTTTTTGGAATAGGAAAATAAGCACAGACTCGAACGCGGCGGCTGCTTAAAGGTACGTTGCGGAGGATTTCTTCTTTTGTATTCCAATTCCTCTTCTACTTTTGTTTCGCTCTTTGCTTCAATACTAATACCCAGCTTCTTGATGTTTGATGTTGCTGATAAACTTTTGGTAGCCCGGGCCCCCAATAAGTCGGATGGTATTTACCAAACTGATCTTAGGTAGAAATATCAGCAATCAGAAGCAAACCTAGATTTACACCTATGGATTCCGAAATTGCTTTGTGTACATGCGGATTCATGCATTGTTATTGCATATGAAGAGCATGTTGATACATTTTAAAGGAGAACTATGGGGTTAAGACTTTTCCCCATAGTTCTCCGTAGGGTAACGTGAGGACACAAACTAGCGTCCTCCCGTCACCCTGGGCTCAGTATACCGCGATCTACAGCTTGCGGTATACTGAGACGCCGCAGCTGAAGCGGATCCCGACAATTGTGTCGGGATCCGCCCAGCTGCGTGACTGACAGCTGGCTCTGCCTATCTAGAGGCAGGGCCAGCTGTACCTGCCCCCTTCCCCCGTCCGATCCGCCAGTCAGCACTGGCGGATTGGAGCGGGGAGGGGGGGATCCAGCCCCTCCCCTGTCACGGCAGAGAGCCGTGACAGGATCGAGAGGTATGTGTTCGCTCACCTCACCTCATAGTTCTCCTTTAATGCTTTTTAACACAAATGTAACCACTTTGTGTCCGGAGCAATTTCTTGAATGTTGCACACAAAATAAAATCTGAATTTCTGGCAAGAAAACTGCTCAAAACCCCCAGGAGGCATCCACTGAGCTTCTGGCAACCAGTGACGTGACTGGTTGCAGGAGTTGTGTGAGATGCTCTGGTCGGCGTCTAGTCGAGCTCTTGGCAACCAGTGACGTGACTGGTTGCAGGAGTTGTGTGGGGTGCTCTGGTCGGCGTCCAGCTGAGTTTCTGGCAACCAATCACATGACCTGTTGCAGGAGTTGTGAGGGATGCTCTGGCCGGCGTCCAACCGAGGTCTTGGCAGCCAGTGACATCACTGGTTGCCAAGAGCTCAACGGGACGCTGGCAAGAGCATCCCAGGTTCATAAGAACTGGGTGGAGAGATGTATATGACCCTTACATATCTCCCAGCCTGACTCTCAGCAACCTGGGACACTCTGGTAGGAAAAGGGGCGACAGGCACACTGCCGCCCCCCTCACCCTCGTGGCTCCCCCCTGCCATGATCTGCCTGCATTGCATAAAGAGGCATAGAGACCCAGTGATGACATGATGCAATGAAAATGTGACAGATAACAGATTTATTCAAACATTTCAGTATGTTGATGGGGGAATCAGGGAAAGCAAAATTGAAGCAGAATAAACTTCAGCTTCTTTAACAATCTTAAGCCACCTTTACGTAGAGTCTAAAGAGTTACACAATGTGCACGAAATGCCTTAATTTCAGCCCCGTTCTTGTTCCATAACCGCCTCCCCATTTGTCTTTCTCAGGACAT